TGCCACATCCCAGAAGACTGCTTTCTTGATAGTCACCGCCATGAAAACCTCAAATCTTACAAAATAAGAAACATTTATTTGCATTCCATAGTACAAAAGATAATTAATGCTGTCCAGTGTAACTGGTAAATGTTATGTTTTTTTTAAATCTTTCATCCTTTATATGTTTTGGTTGTAGTGAGAATGACAATACCTGTTTCTAATACAACTATGAATACATATACAGAAATGTCTGGCAATACAGTGTTACACCAAAATAATTATAACAAAGAACCAATATTGTTTGTTAGATGTATTTGTAAGTTAGACCTTTTTTGTTAGAGTAAATTACTATAAAGAGGAGACAGAAGTTATTCTTTTAATGCTGGCATAAAGACTTATTAAATAACTTAATTCCATTACAGTAATCTCCTGTCTGATATTTTCTGAACTTTATGTTTAGCGTATGGAGGTTAGTTGTATATTATGTATGTCTGAATTTGTTTAAAAAATTTTCTCTGTTGTCCAAAACAAGTGATGATAATGAGAATAATTTGCTGGCTAGTGGAATAATTAATTTCGTTTAAATGATTTCATACATGATATTCTCCTTTTAGAGCACACAGTTATTCAAATTATTTTCTTTTGGATGTAAAATACTTTTTTGCTGTCTGTTGAATTTTCACAGAAAATTATTGTGTATGACATAATGGAATGGCAGTAAACAAAGTGAAGTAATTTTAAAAGCTCCTGTTTTCATGAATTCTTGTGGTGATGGCTTTAGCAGGGGTGGGATTAGGGTCAGTTACTACATAGAATAATCATGTTTCTGCCACGTAAATATCCGTATGATCTAGTTGTGCAAATTCTATATTTTGTGTGTGTGTGTGTTCTTTTTTTGCATGCACTGAAATATTGAGGTTATGTTGAACAGAAGTCACTGTCGTGCCCCCTACATCACACTGTTGAAGAATTGACAAGAAGATCTCGATTTATTCAGTTATCATTTGTATAATTACTTTCATCCTCAGTGTGCACGTGCACATTTAGAAATTATGCACAAAAATTGATCATCAAATTGTATAATAATCTATGTTTCTTACTAACCTCATCATAAAATGGCAATGAAACTTTCACAAGATGATGGAAATTGAAAGGCAGCTGAAATGCAAGATATATGATGTGGGATTGCATTTTTGGGTGCTTCAAGAAGTACCATACAGTTACATGACGTGATAGGGTAAAGTCCCTATATACATCAAGCAGATAACTACAAAAAAGCTTTAATCCATCACAAGAAGGCTGCAGTCACCACATCGAATTAAAGCACACAATAATGATAAGCTAAGCATGGAGCTATGCTGCTGAGAGATCAAGACTATTATTTGTTACTTACTTATTTACTTACTTATGGAGCTGAGCCCTTCTTGAGGAGAAGACAAATCTGCAGCTACTCAAGAATTTCCCAGCATTTTATGGTACCCGAAGGTTCATTACCATGTTCACAAGAGCCCTCCACTGATCCCTATCCTGAGCCACATCAATCCAATCCATACCTCCCCATCATATCTCTCTTAAGATCCATTTTAATATTGTCCACCCCCCTATGCCTTGGTATTCCTAGTGGTCTCTTTCCTTCTGGCTTTCCCACCAATATCCTATATGCATTCCTCGTGTCCCCCATTCGTGCTACATGCCCTGTCCACCTCATCCTCCTTGACTTGATCATTCTAATTATGCTTGGAGAAGAGTACAAGTTATGAAGCTTGGCTTTGTGTGCATTTTTGTAACAAGGTTATTTTTTACGGTGAGGAGTTGTTAGCCCTATGCCCAACCCACACGCTGGAGGACCACCCCTTGTCTGCTGTCCACAACTGCTTATTCAATATATTCACAGCTTCCTTCCATACCTGGAGGGCGTCTCTTCCATCCACAACCTGAGGATGCGCCATGCCATGTTGACAAGGGACCCACCGAACATGGTATTATTTGTTACTGCTGATCTGAATTAGGAGTCAGTATAGCGACTGGCTATGGCATGGATGACTGATGGGTCAGAGTTTGAGTCCTGGTGGGGTCAAGACTTTTCTCTTCTCCTCGTAGTGTAGACTGGTTCTGGGGCCCACCCAGCCTCCTGATCAATGGGTACTGGGGTCTCTTTCCCCAGGGGTGAACTAGCAGGGGTGTGAAGCTGATCACTCACCTCAAGCTAGTGCCGAGGTCAAGGAAATTTGGATCTATGCATCCACTTCCCCACACACATTCATCGCATAGCACTTAATTAGTTAAGCACAGGGACAGCTTTATCTTACTAACCTCATGAAATAGCCTGAATCATTTAAAGGAAAGTAAGTCATATGTTCTTCCCAGAACATCTTGTTTAAGGATGTCTTGCTAATGGGAATTGAGTTAAAGGACCTGTGTCATTTTTAGTCCTGAAGAACTGTGTTTCCCTTCATTGTTTCAGTTGTGCAGCGAACAATAAAGCAGATTTTATTTGCGGGGGAAATTACCAAATATGTAAGTAACATGAAGTTGATGAGTGCATAGTGTTTTAGAATTTCTCTTTAGACATATGTATCATTGTGGATTATATAGTGTCTTCAGTCTCTCCATTTGCAGGTAGAGTTACACCAGTTAATTTTGTATTGTAACTATAAGATTTGAGGATCTCCCACCCGTGGTTATGAAGAGTACTGTCTTCTGGGATATAGCGCCGTGTAGTCCATTGAAAGTCAGCCAATGTTTTGGAGGAGCATACCACCTTCATCTTGAGGGTCGGCTTGCAACCTGCTTTCATGCTAGCGTCTAGCTCAGCTTATTCGACCCTGGAGATGGAAGTGATATGTTTCTCCAAAATGTCTGTTGGCTTTCAGCATATTCCATGGTATTCCATCAAATTCTCCATAAGCATTATCACCAGTATGGGTACAATAGGACATATGGAAGCCGACGTACTGAGAGGACCTAATATGGATTCCACCTCGCACTATACAGAGTGTCCCAGGAGGAATGTGCCAAACTTTGAGAGGGTGTTCCTTATGTTAAAGTATGCCGATATAACCCAAAACACCTATGTCCAAAGTTGAACGGTTACGGAGATAATGGCCCGAGAAAAGTGTGGTCTTCTGGCGGGTCCACGCACTGTACCTTTCAGCTGAGACGTCTTATCTATGTTTGCCTTGAGTGTGGTGATTCACACTAGCCGTAAGCTCCCTTCAGTGTACGGTGCGGCTGGGTCGTGAATTAGTGGTAGGTTAATAGTGCGGAGTTGCTGAAATGCCTTTTGTGTTTTCACACGTGGAATATTGTGATATGCATTTTGTGTGTGGATTTTGCGGTGGCAATGCACGTGTTGCTGTTGAAGAATACCAAAGGCGTTTTCCCGATTGAAGGATT